TACAGGAGCAGAAAGCCTCATCTTTCTCCCACAGAACAGCTGGTAGTTTCGAACTGCTGGCCATGAGATTAGCAGACCAATTCGTAACCACTACGCTACCAGAGACATTTAAAAAGTGTTTGATACAGATGGAGTTTAGTAATGTCCAGGCTAACCCCCACTCTCTGGTCTGCTCTTTGAACTAACTCTTTATGATCATGACTCTGAACACAAATTCAGATTTGCTTTTGCCCACTCTGTTTCTGCCCTCAACTTCTTTTTACTTCATTTTCTGCCTTAAAGGAGTTGCTCACTCCATTGCCCAAATACAGACATCCCCTCCCCTTTTGTTCTTAAACTAAGTAAAGGGGATCCAAAAATCTGATGATTTCAGATTCCTGAAATTTGATCACTCCTAACAAGCAATTCTACTTGTTACTTAGGTTGTATTGGAATAGCAGGGATTCCGACTGAATTTAATAATCAAATCTCCTGAAAATAGATGTTCTGGAGTTGAATGGCAACCACCCTTTTACATCTGCATTCATCAGGATGGGGAGGGACTATGGTAATCAAAGACCTTTGTGCTGGGTTTCAAAATACAGGACAAGGATGTTTTGGAGGATTGCAGTTTTCAATAGTTGTGCATGGAACTACTTAGGATGTTAATTTGCATTTGTAGAAAGTCCCAGGTCAGAGCACTAGTTAAGAGGTGGTCCTATGTCTTTGAGATGGGACTAAATGATATGTGTGTTTTTTTTTTTTAACTATTTAGTTGTCCTTTTTTTGCCAAAAAGTTTATGGAGGACACTCTGGGAGATGCCACATTGCATGTTTGCCTTGTTTTGTGCTTTAGAATGCTGCTAGTTTTGAATTATACATTTTGTTTTTGCTTTTTGTCCTCTATAGATGATCACAGTAGGGTGAAGTTAAGACCTTTACCAGGAAAAGACTCTAAGCACAGCGACTACATTAATGCAAACTATGTTGATGTAAGTCAGACATGTTTTTATGAACCTGTTTCTAAAAATTGAAGAGCGTAGCAGAGACTGTTGAATGTATTTTAATACTGTATGGAGCCTTCACTTAAAACACAGACAATTCAGTGTGGAAGGCACGTGAATTATTAACTAATCATCTGTGAGACTGCTTTTATCTTACTCTGTGCTGCGTCATCTTTGAAGGGTTACAACAAAGCAAAAGCCTACATCGCCACCCAGGGACCTTTAAAGTCGACATTTGAAGATTTCTGGAGGATGATTTGGGAACAAAACACTGGAATCATTATCATGATTACGAACCTTGTGGAAAAAGGAAGAGTAAGAGGCTTTTTCTTAATCATGCACATTCATTTCAAAATATTTATGGAGAGTGCCTGCTCTAGGATAGGAACTTGACCAGGTATAAAGAGTTACAGAAACGAAAAATATTCTCCCTGCTCTGCCCTTGCTTGTGGTCTGGTAGGAAAGACTGCTAAGCACATAAAAGCATGGATTAAATGTGATGGAGGAGATGCATGGGGTACTCGGGGACATTGCACAATGCAAAAGTGCATAGTCTAGTAAGAGATTTTGTAAAGAATCTAGTATCAGAGGTGGGTGTTGAAGGAGTTACAGAAAAGAAAAGGACAGGGGACAGAAGGAACAAATGCAGGGAAATCAGAAGGGCCTGAGTGGTCAAGGAACGCTTCCTCGTTGAGATTGAAGTATGGAGTGCTCAACACTGTCACCGTCAGTAAGAAAACCTCTTTAGGTAAAATAATATGGTGAACATTGTAGAATGTATGAATCTTGAGTGCACCCTAAAAGATGATGCTAGTCCAGGCTGGTATAAAGGTTTAGATTCCTTGCTTAAAAGTACTACTGCTTCTATAGGACTCTGGTGTCCCTCGTTTTGCTTTTGATGACCCAAATATGTAACGTGCAGATTCGCATAGTCAAAAGGAACTTTCCATAAATTCAGCCCAGCCTCCCAAAGAGTTTTTATGCTCCTTCCTCCTACAGCAGATCCTCGACACGTTTCTTACAGGTCAGCTCTACAAGGTTTTTTGTTGTTTTTTGCTGAGCTCCTCTTTCAGGTGTATCAAATATTCAAGGATGATCACAAATACTAGGCCTATTTTCCAAATGATCTTGCCCAAATGTATGCCAAACCATCAGCTGCTTTTTTCGGTCAACTCAGTGACAGCATTACCTTGGTTTTCACACTGTCATTTGAAATTACTTACCAGTAGCCGAACTGTGGCATAAATAAATTCTCTTTTTCAACTTTGTTTACAGCGAAAATGCGATCAGTATTGGCCAACAGAGAATAGTGAAGAGTATGGGAACATTATTGTCACACTGAAGAGCACAAAAGTACATGCCTGCTATACCGTTCGTCGTTTCTCAGTCAGAAATACGAAAGTGAAGAAGGTACTGAGGGTCGGTGTGGGCTGCAACAAGGGCATCTCATTGTACACTTGTATGAAAACGAATATAAGGCAAGGGCCCAATCTCGTTACAACTTGGTTTAAAATAAGTATGTTTAAAACATTTTTCCCACAACTCATTTGATTGGCACATAATAGAATTTAACTGGCCTGGTTGAATGATTTCATCCGTGCATGAACAAAATAGAAAAAGGTCCTCTTAAGGTTGGAGTTGTTAAGTACCATTGAGTCAGTTTCGACCCTAAGCAACCCTGTATAGGGTTTCCAAGGAACAGCTGGTGAACTTGAACCACTAACCTTGCAGTTCAAACTGACTTTGCAGTCCAGCGCATACATAACCCAGAGCGCCACACCAGGACTCCCAAAAGTTTCATTTTAAAGAAAATGGTTCTCATGAAGTTAGGGTTGTTGTTGTTGAAAGGTCTGGGTAACAGTCTTCAAAAACGGCAGCCTCTGTTTAGTGGTTAAACTTTTTTTTAAATTCCAATTTTCTGACAGCTTTAAAGCAGTGTTTCCCAATGTGTGTTACAAGGAATACCTAGTACTGCAGGATGCTCTGTAAAATCAGATTCTGCTATTCAGTAAGTATGAAGAGTGCTGTATAAGATGTTCCCTATTAGAAATTTACCCAAAGAAAACCCAACAAACATGACTAGAGAGTTAAGAAACCATCGTGACTTTGTTTTGCCCAGTGTCTCCTAATGTGACATAACAGTACAGAACCTTTTCTATTGTGTTATTAATATCCTGAAAGCCTATAGTACTTTCATGTTATCCCAATTTTGGTTTTTCAAAATCCACTGTCACAGCAGTGTCATGAATTCTAGGAAGATGTTTATTAAGAAAAGATAATTCATCCATAGAAACTTAGGTTTATGGCAGTGCTTTGTAGCAATGTTGCTGTGTACCATCAAGTCAGTTCTGACTCATAGTGACTATGTATACGGTTTCCAGAGAATGGCTAGTGGGTCTGAACTGCTGACCTTGCAGTTGGTAGTCCAGTGCTTATCTGACAGCACCACACTAGGATTCCTTTAGTAGCAGTGTTGTTACTGTTACGTGCTACTGGCTCACAGTGACCTGTATAGGGTTTCCGAGGAGCAGCTGTTAGGTTTGAACCACCAGTCTATTGCTGTGCTTATCTTGCAATGCCACACCAGGAGTCCTTCTGTAGCAATAATTTGGGGAAAAAATGAGTCTTGGACATGTCTGAGAGAGTGTGAAATTGGTAGTTCCGTTGCCCCAGAAGAATTACCTTTTACTCTGAATTTTATATGTGGAGCTAACCTTTACTCAAGGACAACCTCTTGTTATGTATAGTTATTTCCAAGAACGACAGAAGTCGATGAAGATCAACAACACTCGATTTATCTGTGTTCTCTATAATAATACAGCCGTTAGCTGGCTCAAGCTAACCAATGGCAGATATAAAACATACTACTCAGAGGGGCCCTTCTGGGTTTTAAGCAGTACCCCCTCCCCTCTTACTTTGGAATCTGGTTAGGTCAAAGAAGGAAGTCTAGGGTTGACAACAGGAAAAAGTCATAGGTGAAAATGAGAAAGAAGCAGAGGCGGCAGAAGAACGTTTTACAAACTCAAGCTGTCAAGGCCTTGTAACCCTGGGCCACAGCACAGTGCCTTACAGTGTTGATGGGTACATTGATCGGTTCAGCATGGTATTGCAGCAACTGATCCATGGGGAGAAATGTCTCATCCAAAATAGTTATGTTGTAATAATTCAGACAGTGCTGCCTCAGTTGTCAGATAGGGTCTTCCCTCTGCCTGGAGCATGTACGGCAACTGCTAGCACTGGCGCTCGTGAAGATCCAACCTGGACAGTGGAGAAGAAGTGGGAGTTAAACCCTTAGTCCTGTGGAAGAAAATCCCTAAGGCTAAACCAATCACGAAAGAACAAATATGCACGAGAACCACTATTAACAAAAAGTCCAGAAAAGGTTCATACACAGAAAGAAGCATTTGTTAACGGTTACCAAGAGTAAATCACTAACTGAGGGTTGTTGACACATTAACTTGGGTGAAGGATGCAGTAATCGTAAAAACAGACAATATCTATGCATACATACATAGGTACAGATGAATAGAAGTATTCATACATACAAGTACATAGAGGTGGGACTAAAAAACTTCATGGAAATACATAATGGTTTGTTTTCCATGAATTTTTTTAATCCCTCTTGTATACATTGTTGTTGTTAAGTGTTGTTGAGTTTGTTCCAACTCACAGCAACCCTTATATAGGATTTCTGAGGAATGACTGGTGAATTTGAAACTCCAACTGTGTGGTTAGCAGTCCAGTGCTTATCCTACAGTTCCACACCTAGGCTGAGGGCATTACTACAGACATATTTGTATGTGCTGCAAAGTTGTGAAAACTTGTAAGATTTAACCAAATACCTTGAGGGGAGTAAATGATAGGACTTAGGATCATAGTGTCAGGGAACTCCTAGATCGGTTGGATAACATAGTCCACAAATACAGTGTTCTCTCATGCCACTATGGTGAGTAGCTGTCTCCTACAGGGATCAGTTTTCAGCCAAAGAACAGACAGGCCTGAGGCCAGGGTGGCCAAACTTCTTCTCTCATACTTCAGACATATTGTCAGGAGGGACCAGTCGCTGGAGAAGGATATCATATTTGGTAAGATGGAGGGTCAGAGAAACAGAGGAAGACCCCCAGCGAGATGGATTTGCAAAGTGGCAGCATCAGTGGGCTCAAGCATGGCAACAATTGTGACGCTGGCCCAGGACCAGGCAGTGTTTCGTTCTGTTGTACATGTCGCTATGTGTCGGTACCGACTCGATGGCAGTTAAAAACAACTTAAAGGAAATAATAACACCAGAAATGTGTTCTTCAGTACAACCAGCCTTACCAAACCAAAAGGATAGATGACATAGCTGAGAAGGCATGAAAGATGACTGACTGGGAAGGGCAGGAGCGCTGGTACATTGAGAGGACCGCAGCCGCTGCCACCAAAGAAAATGTGTAAAGAATACTCAATAGGAAATGGATTGGCACTGTCAACTTTCACCCAAACTACAAGAAAAATTTTAAAAAATGAAGTATTGTAGGCAGAATACTATTCCAAATGCAAAATGGATAGTTCTAAATCCAAAAAGTTGATGTTAAACTTTCATTTAAATAGTCCATTTATTGGCATGAGAGATGGTCACAAAGCAGCAGGAATGCAGCTGAGTTACGAGAGAGGCGGGATCAGGTTCTCGTTTCCTGACAAAACCCTTCGTGATTTTTATACAGAATACCCAAAGCCCACCTCCTGCTTAAAAACATCTACTTTCATCTTTGTCATCAGGGTCAGAAGGGAAATCCCAAGGGCCGTCAGAATGAAAGAATAGTGATCCAGTATCACTACACACAGTGGCCAGACATGGGTGTCCCCGAGTATGCCCTCCCAGTCCTGACCTTCGTGAGGAGATCCTCAGCAGCCCGGACACCGGACATGGGGCCTGTGTTGGTTCACTGCAGGTACGGTGGCTCTTTGTTTCCAGTCTGGGATTCAGCCTAGGATGTGGGCAGATCAGGGAACATGTGCCCCGTGATCTCGGCTTACTATGACTGTTCTGCTTCGAGTTAGAAATCGAGTTTTCTACTGAAAACTGGGAGGAATAATACCTTTTACTAATGGGACTTCTCAGTAACTATCATCCCATTAAGAAATCACCAATTGCATATACTTGTACAAGTTTAAAAAAAACAAAATTTTTAATGTTTTCAGAGGATGAACTTCTAGTTTTGATGACATCACCTTATTTCCTATTAACAAAATCCTCATTATTTATAGGGAAATTTTAGGCTGATCCTAATAAATAAAAATCTGACCTTTAAACACAAGCTTCATACAACTGATACTTTTAAGTTTTTATATATTGCTTTTCTGTAGAGTTCCTCTAAAAAATAGTATTTATGGTATGTGTGAAAGGATATTCTAATTTATACATGCCATGTAAAACACCTTCCTAAAAGCACGAGGGAAACTTTATATGAAACTTATTTTCTTAACTACCTTAAACAACAGCAGTTGGTTGTTTAAAAATGTTCTTATTATGTTTCATTTGTAATTGCATTCTTAGTTGTTGTTGTTTTAACTTTAGTATTCAAATAGTTGTTCCTTATTCTGTGATTTATGTTGCATAGGTATTCAGAATTTTCTATGCATTTCTTTGGAGTTGTTCTTACGATACGCTGTTGTAAAGCAAATTCTTTGCAAAAGTTGGAGCCCATGAGAATGGCACATTTTTAGTGACCCACTTAGGGATCACTGAAATAGAGACAATAGCCTATCCAACAATGGGTATAAAGGGAATTGTGCTAGATGGAGATCCTCCTAGGAGATGCTGCCAAAAGCCTTATTCAGTGCTACAGAACTCAGATCTTTTTGGGTACTTTGGTTTTGGTCGATTTTTTAAATAGTTAGGAAATGTGAGTAAAAGGAGGTCAGTTTTTTTCAGATACATTATTATTATTCTGTATTAAAGGAAGGCACCCTTTCAAGATAAGAATGTTTTAATAGTGAGTGTATTAGTAAGGTTCTAAGTTGCTGGCAATAAAAGCCGACTGGTAAGTTGTATAAAAAAAGGGACTCACTGATTGCAGGGGGCACTGCTGAAGGAGGAGCACCTCTCTGTTCCTTGCATCACTGAGTGACTTTCAGGTGTTTGAGCTGCCAGGGAGGTTGAAATGGCAAGTACAGAATACTATTCGTCCAGCTCCTATGGTATCATTGTTTCCATTCCATGGTTAATGACAATAGAGCAAAACTCTGTCTTCGTTTCTTACAGTGCCGGAGTGGGCAGGACAGGCACCTACATTGTGATAGACAGCATGCTGCAACAGATCAAAGACAAAAGCACAGTCAATGTCCTGGGATTCCTTAAACACATCAGGACGCAGCGTAACTACCTCGTCCAGACAGAGGTGAGCACATGTTTTAGTAAAGAGCTGAGTGATGGGAAGGACACAGATTCATTTTCTAAGGGTAGAGGGAATTTACAGGTTTGTATTCGAAAACACCCTATTCTTTGTATCACCGATTACGATTTCTATGTGGGTCTTAACAAAGTACACCAGCACGTAAAAAGCAAAACCGTTCTATCTAGTGCTGTATTAGATGCTCGGAGAAGACAAACATGCTGTCTGGCCTGAGAACTATCCATTGGTGGGTGGCTCGAATTACCTGCACCTACTGTTTCAGGCACTGTATAGACTACAGCGATAAAATGGCCCTAAAATAAGTCAGCTATGAATTTCATTAGCCTAGCCATAAAGTATTCAAAAGAACTCACTGGTGTTATGGATTGAATTATTTCCCCCCAGAGATATGCGGTAATACTTACAACTCATGGGATTATAACTATCTATCGTCAGAACCTTTCTGTTACATGAAAGAGGCAGAATTAACGCAGGGTGTGTCTTGAATCACTCTGTTTTTTTTAAGCTTTTACTGTGTATTGAGTGAGTGAAGGCTTACAGGGCACATCTCCATTTTTACATTCAGCAAATCACTGCAATGATTACAATCCACTCCTTGCACCCTTAGCCAACAGTGTTTACCCTCTATTCCCCTTTTTTTTTTTTGTGAACATACCACACTGTAAATCTGTATTTGCTTAAATGTCTAAAGGGCACATTTTCCAAGCCAGCCTCCTGTCTGCAGGCACACTGTTTTTCTCAGTCCATGGGTCTGTAGTCCTCTGCTGCTCTGTCTCTCTGTCTCTCTATGCCATTGCCTCTGCCACCATCTCTGTTGTCGCCGCTTTTTCTGGTCAGGATCCCTCGTTCCTCTCATGTTCTTCCAGCTTGATGGTCCTGGGGTCCCCTGTTCCTGAAATGACAGATTAACTGCTCCCCACTTTTAGTGCACTTCTTCTACATTTACGTTGTGACAATCACCATTAGACCTGAAAACAGCTCAAAAATTGAATCATAAAATCCTGTCCTCCTCACAACCAGACCCATCTGGACATGATGAAAACCCTCGTGAAAGCTTGTAAGCCAGCCACTTTGTACCTTTATAGCCCCCAGTTTTGGTAGCCGAAGTTGAAATTGCCATTTCCTATCAATTCAGTGTACTGAGGAGATATGCTGGATCCGTGATATGAAGAACCCTTCCTTTTTCAGTTGGAATTTGGGGCACTCTCATCTATAATCAAGGGTCCAGTTGATCAAGTTGTAGCAATTCATGCTTGCTCCTGTGTTATACTTCTTTATCTACATCTGGTTGAATTCTGCTCAGCAAGCCATCCAGGCTAGCTCCAAAGGACTCTACAAGTCTGGGAGTTCTCACATGCTTTCTCCCGCTTCAGATCATCTAGCTACTTTATTCTTAACTTTCAGCCCTCAGTGGCTAGGTCAGTATATTTGGGTTAGGGAGTTCACACATCTCCCTGAACTTCAAACTTCTCCCTCTCATCTCAAAGTCATAGAGCGTCTATGGAATATGGTC